AAGTTATATAATGTTAGATAACTCCCAGTCCCTGGCATGTGAATGCTCATAGTGTTAAAGCATTAGCATGTTCCTCGTCACACTTCAAACTTCTGCCAATTCATATCCTCCTAGTTTCTGGGTATGGTTTGGGAGACAGAACATCATGATGACCATTCCCATTAGGCAGGTTGGATATAAACACTCAGGCCTGAGGACGAAGGGGGTTCACTTGTTTAGGTGTAGGCCAAGGCACACCAGCCAGCCACAGTCTCTACCAGCATTCCTAGACATGTAATGTGCCAGCATTGATGCAACCCACTGATTGCTGTGTATATCGTGCAAACAGGCTTGTTGACCTACCCATGCTGCATTTTCAATGTATACTCAAAATAAAAATCCATACTTAAATTAAAAAATCCCTGCAATATCATAGACTTCTGACTCTACAAACATCTTTTCCTCACTCTGTAATCAAATGCTTGCATTAACAATAACATAACCAAAATCCAATTCAGTGATGCATTTTCTTATTCAGAATTTCCCCTCTCTGATAATGAGAGAAGAAAAACAGCATGGTAATTTTAGCCAGGGAAAAAACCTCCTTGGTTCTTTTGTGGAGGGAGAATATAGCTCTTCATTTTTTATATGACATTTCAGTGCTGCAGTCACATGCATTAAAAATGTAAATGGAATATGTAGATGTAATCTCTACAGTTCTTATTTCTCTACATGAAGACCAGATTAACGCTCTACAACACCTGCACCACTTGGTATTTTCCTACTGAGGTCTCAGAAATAAATCTGGTCCTCTCCTCGTGATTAAGCACAAAATGAACTACTGGACTCTTTTTTTCGTGGATGCTTTCAGCCTGCTCTTCTCCTGAATATGTAAGAATTTCACTTTAATAATGAACACACAGTTTTCAAGGATTGCCACTGCCCTCTTGTTAAAAGAGAAAAGGTATTTTTTTCGGCTGCAAAAATTTTTGTTCCCACTATCCACCTGACTAGTCTCTCGTATTCTCTGCAAATCTAGGAAGTTCCAAAACAAATTCCATTTTATCAGCCTGCTAATCAAATCCACCCAGAACATCTCTTAATCAGATCTATTAATTTTGTTTAATTATGTGGAAAATTTAGTGTGACCTACATTTTCAGTAAAATTATGGCTTGAACTAAGTGCAAACTCTTGTCTTGATCTCTTGCTGCTAATACCCGCTGTTAGTAATGTGGAATTACCTTAATTTGGACTGGAACAACCTCTCCATCAGCCCCCCCTTTTACACTGAACCATTATAAAATAATTCTCCTTTTCAAGAATGTAAACTGCTTTTCATGTTTCCACTCACTGACTGCAAATACTAAAAAAAAAAACGTTGCAGCACAACATTTAAAAACAACTTTGGAAAAGTAATCCAGACTAAACCAATGCAGCAAACACACCCTACACCCCCAACAATAAAACCCCCAAAACTGAGAGGCTAGTACTTATCCAGATCTGTTTTCAGATAGAATTCACCCTCTAATCTACAGCAAAAATTTACACAAAGAAGTACTGTAGCAGTGGAAGTGATAGGGAGGCAGGGGGGAGATGAAAGCAGGGGGAATGCTGCTCTTTTCAGCAGAGTCAACCTAAATTGTCTGTAAAACGACTTGAATAAAAATCATCTTCATGTCATTTGTGACAAACTATGCTAAGATATGAGAAGCTGGGAAAGTTTCATTTAAACATGAGTAGAATTTGTGACAAGAAAATGACAGCATCTGGTTTAAGTGATTAAAATATATTATCAATGTATATTTGTTTTCCTGGATGCTTAGGAGTGTAAAGTTATTTTAAAAGCTGCTTAGAATGATAATCGTTGGGTAAATGAGCACACTGCATAGAGCACTGACTTCTTAATATAGTATATGAGCTCCTCACCATGTCATGGGGCTTTCTTGGGTTTCAGAGCCCGGCAGCGGTAAATGAGTGTTAAATGCAAGCTAGGATCTTGTGACTGGGTGGGTTCAGACAGAACAAAGCCAAAAACAATGTCCCCATTAAGCTTATAATGGTAATAATATGTGCATTTAGGTCAGGTAGATAGTACATCAAAGGGCATTTGTTTTGGTTTGGGTTCTTTTTTTTTTCATTAGTAGCACTTTTGGCATAAAGTACTCTCTGCTAACACAAAAGAAACCAGGACAATGCAGTCATCAGTCACAGACAGCATGGGTTCCATAGGGGAAAGTCCTGCTTGACAAACTGCTTTTCTTTTTACAACAAGGTAACCCACCTAGTTGATCAAAGGAAGCCAGTTGATGCACTCTTTTTGGATTTCAGTAAAACTTTTGAAACTGTCTCTCACAGTGTCCTCCAGTCGTGGGAGGGGGTTGTCCAGCTCTGCTCTGCACTGGTGCGGCCTCACCTTGAATATTGTGTGCAGTTTGGGGCACCGCAACGTAAGAAAGATATTAAGCTATTAGACAGCATCCAAAGGAGAGCCACGAGGATGGGGAAAGGTCTGGAGGTGAAGCCACAAGGAGCTGCTGGGTTAATTGGCTCGTTCAGCCCTGAGGAGACTGAGGTGGGACCTCTCAGTCTATAACTTCCTCATGAGGGGAAGAGGTGGGGCAGGCACTTCTTCTCTGTGGTGATCAGGGACAGGACCCAAGGGAATGGCTTAAAGCTGTGTCAGGGGAGGTTTAGGTTGGACACCTGGGAAAGGTTCTTGACCCAGAGGGTGGCTGGGCACTGGAACAGGCTCCCCAGGGAAGTGGTCACAGCACTAAGCCTGACAGACTTCAAGAAGTGTTTGGGTGATACTCTCAGATACATGGTGTGATTCTTGGCATTGTCCTGTGCAGCTGGACTTTGAGGATCCTTGTGGGTCCCTTACAACTCAGAATACTCTGTGATTCTACGAACTGTGAAATACCTGACAGAGAGCAGGAATCTGAGTTAAAACCTGTTCAAAGCCTTCCCCAGAAGCTTTTCTCTCCCTTCAGTGAGGAAGATTCTCCCTATTCTCTTTTAGTGTTGATTAATGCCATCACTAGATAGTAGCCTCTCTTCTCCCATTTCCCTAGAGAACACTTCTTAAGAGAATACCCTAGAGAACTTCTTAAGGAATTTTAGCAGTGTTTCGTTGACAGTGTTTTTGAGTGGCAAAATTTCCAAAATTCAAAATCAGAATAAAATCCTACTGTATTTAATCTATGTATTTAGAATTGATTAACTGCCAATAAACACTTTTATAACTGGAATACTGTGTTGTTGCAGCATCAAATAAGGAAGTTACGCAAATTGGAACTGCTGAAGACTATCACTGGTTTAATTCTTACAATTTTAATTTATGTTGGTGGAGATCCATGAGGTCCCAATAGCCTCAAAAGGATTTCACACAAGCACACAAGCTTGTACTTCATGATCAAACCACAAACTCAACACCACTGTTAGCAATGGATTAGATTTTTAGCACAGAGAGGGAGCCAAAAATAATTTTTATCATCAAACAATAGACTATGAAAAATCCGTAGTCCTGAAAGGTAAATTTAAAAAAACCCAAAAACCAAACCACCCCTCTACTGTATTTTCCTACTAGAGATGTCAAAGGGATTGAATGTGATACTGTGCTTTAGAAAGCCAGGAGTACAAATCCTTCTATAGTCTAGCATAGTAGCTCATCACTCTTAACGCAGAGTCCAGTCTGAGTACAATCATGTAGACAGTATATTCCAAAACTTGCCAAACAAAAGTCCAGGAAAAATGATAGGAGGGAGGGCAGAAAGAGCCCTATGGGACTATTGTAAGAAACAGCAGAAATTAAAACTCGTAGTACACACCTGAAAGGGCTGCTCTGGGCTTGTACAACCCAGAGCTCGGTTTTGTACCTGCCCACAACTGTGGAACCAGGACATAGCCGGAGACATACCCCACGATTTTGGACCGTGATGCTCTATCCCCGCCTGGAGTTTAGAGGAAAACACTAATTTCGCTCAGTAAGAGCATGCCTAAAGCACAAAACGTCAGGGAGCCGGGGGTTGCTTTTTGCCCACTTATCTTTGCGTTCCTGCCGCTATTTCAAGTTTAAAATGTGTGAGTAGCCGCAGGAACAGCACGCTGGAAGTCTCACCTCGGCAGCTTCACCCCAGCAGCAGAGCTGCTTCACCCCGCTCCGCCCCCCAAAGGGCTGTCATCGGGGAGGACCTGAGAGTCACCCGGACCCGCGGAACGCCTTCGGGAGCCAGGAACAGTCTCAGCTCCGGAGCGAATCCCGCCGCCACTTCCCGCCCCGACATCCCTGGGCAGGAGCCGGGCAGAGCTGTCGCTGTTGATGCCTATTAACGGCCTCTTCTCCGCGGGGCTCTCGGGAGCTGTAGTCCAAAACCCCTGCCTTCCCGGCCCGCCGCCGGGCGGATTCACGGCCCTCGAACTACAGCTCCCAGCGTGCCGCGCGCCGGGGCGGTGCCCGCCTGTGGCGCCGGGAGGCTGTGCGATGGCGGCAGGTTTGTAATCGAAGGAGAGGGCTGGCGGCCGGGACGGCGCGGCTGCGGGACTACCGTGAGGAGCGGCGCCGGGGCTGGGGCTGCCGCCCCGCTACCTGCGAGGGGCCGCGGGTTGGAGCTGTCGCGGTGCGAGTGCTTAGGGGCCGGGGGAGCAGCGGGCGCTGTGGGAGCACTTAGGACGTCTTGTTTGAGGGCGGTATCCGTGTCCCTGAGGAAAGGAGGGCGCCGGGCCCGACTCCTCGGCTCGGCTGAGGAACGTGGCTGTGCTCGTGTCCCCACCGTCGACCTTTGCGGGGATTCCTTTGTCCCTCCTCTCCTTCCCGGTACGGGTCGGCCTGATCCCTGCCGGCTCCTCCGGTTGGCACCTCCGGAAGGTGCTGCTGCCGTGAACTTCTTGGGAAGGTTCAGACTGGCAGGCGGCCTCCAGAGGGTGTCCGAAAGGTGACGGGTAAAACAGACCGTGGACATTGAGGGCTTGAATTTGCCTCTGCAGGAATCTGCACCTCACTGGGAAACTTCCCGTAGCGTCACAAAACAGAAGGCAGTCGGAAAACATCTCAGTAAGGGAATTGCGCTGTTTCTCCCAGTCGTGCTTTCAAACTCTGGTTGGAAGCATAAGCCTTTTTACAGTAGGAAAATTAAGTGGGAGCTGGCATGAACTGATCCCTTGGGAACAAGGAAGCTTTATGAAGTTATTTCCTGATCAGCAGGACTGTTGAGCCTGGGCTGCTGTGGTTGCCTGTCCTTTGTCCCCTGGCCCCTTTCCTGTGTGTTCCCCCTGACACACCATATGCACAAGCAGAGAGTTACTTGCCCTGCGGCTAGTTTGAGATAGCAGGGCTGAGTGGCCCGGCTCCTGCTTGCCACACTGTCATCGACAGCAGTTCTGTCTCTTTTTCTTCCTAAGTGAGGAAGTCACTTTGAGTCTCCTCTCTACCTGAATTCATTCATGGTTTATGGCACTTTTAGGATATGTTGCAGTCTTCAAGCTTTCTTTTGGATGGATTAAAAAAAAAAAAGTTTTTGGGATAAAGAAGCTAACAGGGAGCACGGTTGTAGAGTTTCCATGAGAAACAAAGGAATACACAAAAATGATAGAGTTGAATTAAAATATATGTATTAAAATGTTTGTATTTAGACGGGCATATTTGAAACTTTGCATTAATATGAACGTCCTGTGGGGGAAATCTTTCAACTCATCATCTGTCTTCTTTTGTTGCAAGTGTTTAAAAGAAATTCTGAATCCTTCTCTGTACTACAGAAGAGAATATTGTACACATCATTGTAGTATCTGAAATGATATTAACTGCACTCAAATAAATAAGATGATTAAGAGTTGGATTATGTTTATATTCTGCACAGAAAGTGTTTGTTACTTCTTGTCCAAATGCTTTCTATTGATTGTGACGTATTTTTATAAATACACCAGGTTGGTTAAAAGAGAGTAACTCACTGGGAATCTGTTATTGTAGATTTCTTATTTTGTTTATCTGCTTAATTTTTAGGTGCTAAAAGTAGATAACTGTCCATACCAAGTACCTGGAACTTTGAAATTTATACTGTCCTAACCCTACATAATGTAATATTGTTATGTTAATGCTGATCAGCAAAGAAAGTGGAGTACCATTTACAAGATGCCAACTGTTGAAAATCCGAGTGGTGAACAGAACTTTATTGCACATTGGACGTTCAATAGTTCCCGTGCCGGAGTCTTATTAGATCCTAGTTTTACTGGTTTGAACTTCAAGAAAGAAAATTTGTTACCTGGACCTGAAAATATCACAGCTTTACCTGCCGAAGTGTTGCATCTTTCAGACACCTGTTCTGTAAGTGATGACTCCCTGTGTGAAGAGTCTGGCAGCTCTCATACACTTCAGCAATACAGCACTGGAACATCTTTTCCAGCAGCAGCATGTAATGTGAAAAGCTCTAAACCAGACTTTGTCTGTGGTGAAGTGGATGGTCAGAAAAAATCTGGTTACAGCGACCCACTTTTACAAAGGCTTGAACAGGTAAAAGTCCTAGAATTCCTTGACATACATCCATTAAGATTTAGTTTTTTCCTGCAGGTGATTTGTCATATCTGGAAGTAAGCAAACTCCTTGCAATGTATAGACCACAGCGAGCTTAAAGAGCAAGTCCTAAGTTACGGTTACGTGCACATAAAAGTTGTTGTCCTCCTCGTGATGTGCAGTTACAGACAGTCTAACTGCCCATTGTTTCCAGGTGGCGCAGGTTCCAGTTTAAAGCTAAATTGTTCTCAAAATCATTTTACCTTGAAAAGTGCACACAGTTTTACAATGTCCCATTGTTTCTTCACTTGAAACTGTGGAAATGGGGTGCTGGTCATTACAATGGTAGTATTTCACCACAGGTATTCACAACATGGTGAAGTTGCATGATCTTGTATCTGTAGCAACATCTTTTGTTAGTCCTCAAAGTAGGTGTGAACACTGATATACCTGGTTCCGTTTAAATGAAGAGAGATGTTAGTGTTGAATGTGTTGAATGTGTTCAATCAGGACAAAAAGATCTGGAATTATAGTGCTGTGATGTTACTTACCTTTTTTTTCTAATGCAAGAATGTCAGTTAATCTACTGTAAGTGTCTTTAGGTTGGCTTATAGCTCTTCCCGATTACTAGATACAAATTGTGTTAGCTGAAAGTGTTCAGCAGCACTTTAATAGATCTTACTGTTAAGGGTTAAGAACTCTCTTACCTCCTTGTCCACTCTGCCAGCAGCTACATCAGCACTAATCTCTGTGTCCTGTATTTTACATGGTAGGAAAATATTTATTCACTTTTTAAATATTGTCAGCAGTATCAGTCAGTGGCTAAATGACAAATATTAGCTGGTAATCGGTATCTTAAGTGCAATTTTTAAGTCTCCTGTCTTAGAAAGTTATTGACAATCCAAAACAAAAAAATAATCTGATGCTTGTCACAGCATGAGATTTTTTCAGTTTGGTTTTCTGAGGATATTATTATCAGAACAGGTATGATTAATTTAGTAAGTGAAGGGGTTGGAGATGAGACTCAGGTGATCTTTGGATCTTGATCATTAGCTCACAACTTCTACTTGCGTAGTGCCTTCTGTTTATACTGGGACTACAAGGGAAATTCAAGGGAATTTTTTCTTACATGTTGAACGACAGTTGTGGTCCAGTTGTTGATCTGTGGAAGGAATTCATCAGACCTTTCCTTTGGAGGAGCTGGAACTAGCACATATGTATGCATGGGAGATACAAAGATGGACACAGAGGCTCACCACCCATTGCTCTGGTTTGGTAGGGTACAGAATGCCCTGCCTTCATATGACCCTCAAAGTTGGTATTGAGGCAGGGCCAGGGACTCCTGGTACACAAGAAAATGAAGATTGGATTACTGAATTTAATCAGCAATTTAATTCTTTTTTTTCAAGTATCTTCATGAGTCTTAATGTTGCTCGGTGCTCTTTCCCCTTTCTTGTTCCTTTGCATCAGTATTGTTCACTGTAACTGAGACCTTGGAGAGAGGAAAGAAAAAAATCCACTTTTTCTAAAGCTTTAATTATTATGAAGTATTTAATACTTTAATAAAAACACAGCATAGTAGAAGTTGACATTGAAAGAGCAGGATTGAAATGTTTTTCCCATGCAGTAGAAATGAATGTTCTGATTTCTATTTTTTGCGGATTGGTCAATTAAAGACTAGTGGAACTGTTAATCGCGCAAAGTGGAAATAGCATGTGTATTCTTAGATAGAAAAATTCTTAATTTTCTCTATGTTACACTGGCCTAATGGAGCATCTTTAAAACAATAAATACCTGCTGTCTTGATGCTGCTAATCCTGTGGCACATTCTAAATAAACCTAGCCTCTAATACATTTATTTTTTTGTTTGAAAAGCTGAAGGAATTGCAACGACAGAAACAGGAACAGCTAAAGAAACAACAGATGGAGCAACTTCAATGGCTAATGGAAGAGCAGCAGAAGCTACTTAGCATGGTATCTGGCCAGGCAGCAGCTCTTGGTAAGTTGAGAAAAAAAGCACATGAAGTACTTTGAATAAACCAAAAAATTTAATCTTATTTTCCAGTTAAAATCTTAAAGCGTATTCTGTGTTCTTCTCTTAAGACTTGATTAGTCTTCGTCTTTGACTTGATTAGTCAAAGATAAATGCTGCATTGCTTCAGTGCCTGAAAAATTGAGTGCTGCTGTGGAAGGAATACCGTCCTGTTTTTATAAAATGCTAGCTGTAATTGTAACTTGATCAATATGCACTATGATGGGAGCCCTTGTTTTGAAGTACACATATTAATTATAAAGTGTAAAACAAAGTTACTTTCCTTTCTGATTAGCTGTTTCTCACAGTACTTTTGATTGCTTTAAACTTGCAGTGTAACCAAATGAAGTTCCCCAGTGTTTGTGTTCATGCCCATCGTGTTCAGGTAATGAACTGAACTAGACTAGAAAGCTGATCTGTATTTGAAAACAAACACTTGTAACCTGTATCAGTTTTCCAGTCTTGTTTGCTGTGTGTACAGAGAGGTGACAGTTCTTGGCTGGAAAAAGCTTTTAGAGTTGAGCAGTGGTATTTTCTTCTCTTGACAGTAGCAGTCCAACCTGATTTAAATGATTTTCTGAGACAATTAATTTAGGGCTTATCGTAGGACAACAAAAGCCAGATTGCCTAATCACTTGTTCTTGATCAGTAATGTAAGAATGGAGGCCAGGTGATCAATCTTGCTCCTCAGTGCCATTTCTTTTATCCTGTGGAACAGTAGTGTTGTAATACAAATACAATGACACAGCCATTTTTTTTCTTCTAATTTCAAGGCTATACTCTAACAGCTGAAAGTCAAAAGCTGAGACCTGGGCATTCATCAGGCTTAACAACTTTACACCAATTGCCATCATCTGGATATCAGAATATCTTTGAAGACAGAACTCATGCTCCGATTGTTGCTTCATATACACAAGACAATGATTCTTTACAAAAGTTAAACAACAAAGAATGCACCCCATCTTTGAAGAACAGTCTTTCAGAAGTGTCTGCCTGTGAAAAGCAAGGTCCATGTGTGCCTATGAAAAAGCCAAATTGTTTGAACAACAAGGAAGACAAATACATTACTGGTTAGTCATTTATTGAAAGATAAATTCTTTCTATAGAAAGATGGTGGTTTATTTTCTGCTTGTAGTTACCGAGCATAATTTTATACTGCTTATTTTGAAGATCTTCTGATTTTTGTTGGTTTACTTGATTTATTGGTTGGTTTACTGACAGCTTACAGACCTCAGAGTGTTCCTGTTGTTGTCCATGGGAGCTTTGTTAAAAGCAGTATGAGACAAAAATCAAATTCTTCTCAATTTATACATACGTATGTAGGAAACAGAAGCTTGATAAGAGCTTCTGTAGAGCAGACATCAAAATTTGTTCAGTTATTTTTTTAAGCCATGCATTAACAATAGCAAAGAAGATAAACAATCACAATGGATTATTTAAAGTCTGTGGAATTTTTTTAATGCATAATTGGATGTTCCCGTAAAAAGAAAGTGCAAATTCAAATAAAAATTAATTTGGAGAAATCTTAGGACTATTTTGTGTAGGAATTAAGATGACATAGCCATGAAGCTCCCTTCTGGTTTTAATCTGACCTGAATGCTGCTTAAAGTATGTCCTGAAAACTGATTTGTTGTTGGGACAAAAAGAAAATTCTGTTACTTTCATAGGTAAAAACATGTGGTGTCCAGAAAAAAAGACGGAACTATTAATGGAGAGTGAAGATAATCACATTGATTCTTTATGTGTGGGAATTGCAGTTCTTTCTGAAAATTCCAGCGGAGGTGAACATTCACGGACTAATACAGAGGAAAGGTAATTCAGACTGTGATTACGCAGTTCTTATCAAATAACACAAGTTTGGTTGAATTCTGAGTCCTGATTAGAAGAGTCTGATACTCTCAATTTGTGTAGCTTTCTCAACCAAGGATTCAATTTTTCTGGATACTGTGGTGACCTGTAATAAGAAAGGCTCTTGCTTGAAATTGCTTGTGCTGTAAAAGATGTGATGTTGTGTACTGGAGGAAGAGGTGTGTGTGCAACCTAGGGTAATGCCAGCTTAGAAGCATGTTTTATTACAGCTCAGTATATAAACAGTTATAATTATTGTTCCCAGTTTATTACAACCTCCTATCCACTGTTAGGTGCTGAAAGTAGTAACATGAAGGAGGAGCGCAAGGCTGTGACTTTTTTAGTCAGGAGTTAAGATTGTTTGAAGTGTTAAAGGCCAGGTTGGATGGAGCCCTGAGCAACCTGGTGTAGTGAAAAGTGTCTCTGCCCGTGGCACGAGGGTTGGAACTGAATGATCTTTAAGGTCCTTTCCAACCCAAACCATTTTGTGATTCTGTGAAATGTCTGTATATGTCTAAGAACTAATGACAGTGCTTGTGGCAGAAGCCTTCTCATGTATGTGGCCAGGTTTTGGTAGTGGGGGGCTACAGGGGTGGCTTCTGTGAGAAGCTGCTGGAAGCTTCCCCCATGTCTGGTAGAACCAATGCCATCTGGCTCCAGGATGGACCTGCCACTGGCCAAGGCCGAGCCCATCAGGGATGACAGTGACACCTCTGTGATAACATACTTAAGAAGAAATAAAGTTACTGTGCAGATGAAATTGAGGCCAGAGAAGAGCAGAGAACATGTGAACAACAGTATAAACACCAGGGCCAGTGGAGAAGGAGGGGCAGGAGGTGCTCCAGGCACCAGAGCTGAGGTTCCCCTCTAGCCTGTGGTAAAGACCATGGTGCAGCAGCTGTGCCCCTGCAGCCCATGGAGGTCCACAGGGGAGCAGAGATCCACCTACAGCCTGTGGAGGAGACCCATACTGGAGTAGGTGGATACCTGGAGGAGGCTGTGACCCTGTGGGAGGCCCGTTCTGGAGCAGGGTCCTGACAGGGACCTGCAGACCTGTAGAGAGAGGAGCCCATGCTAGAGCAGGTTTCCTGGTAGGACTTGTGACCCTCTAGGGAACCTAAGCTGGAGCAGCCTGTGCCTGAAGGAGTGCACCCTGTGGAAAAGTGACCCACGTGGCAGCAGTTTGTGAAGAACTGCCTGTGGGACTCACATTAGAGAAGTTTGTGAAGGACTGTCTCCTGTGGGAGGGACCCCACAGGGAGCAGGGGAAGGGTTTCTCTCTGTGAGCTGTAGCAGAAACAATCTGTGATGAACTGACCATAACCCCCATTCCCTGTCTCCCTGTGTTGTTGGGGGGAAGGGGGTAGAACTTGGGAAGGAGGGTGGGGTGGAGGAAGATGTTTTTAAGATTTCTTTTCTCATTATCCTGTTCTGATTCTGTTGGTAATAAATTTAATTAGTATCCACACTTTGAGTCTGTTTTACCTGTGTAAAACAGGTAAAACAGTATTTGGTGAGTGATCTCCCCTGGACCTTAACTCATCAACCCTTTGTTATATTTTCTCTCCCCTGTCCAGTTGCAGAGGGGAGTGATAGAGTGGCTTTGGTGGGTGCCTGGCATCCAACCACGTCAACCCACTTACAGTATGGTAAAAGATTTGTATATGGAGTTGATAGAATAACAGTAGTAGTTGGCATTGTTTTAAAGCTCATATATTATCAATATGTAGTAGTCACAACCCCAAAACGCAGCACCATATGGGCTGCTATGAAAACAGCTCACTGCATCCCAGCCAGACCCGACCCAATACTCCTGTGAAGGAGGAGGAGTATCAAAGGGGCAGATAGGGTAATGATCTTAGTAGCATTCCTGAGTGGGAAGGTGAGACTGTAGAGCTTGGCTGTGTGACTAAACTATGAGTGAAAGTTTGGTGATTTGGCCAAAAGAAAGGGTCATTAAGAAAAGCAGTGAAAGAAACCCAAAACCTGTATACAATATATTTTATATATGTGTATTAACTGTTGCAGGGGTTTGATAAACTATTTCTCGATAGATAAACACGTAGTGTTAAAATGCATTTCTCAGATTAACCTAATGACTGAAACACCTCATGATTTGTCATCTTTTATGCAATTACACCTTATGTCTTTGAATAGCAGTGATGTTAAACATATTTATTTTATATAGAATTATAAGAGTTGTTATAGGCTTATTTATATATTTTTTTCTTTAATTACACTAGACCTATTAAAGCTGCAATACATGAGAAGAAACAGACTTTTGAAGAATTCTTGGAAGAACAGATACAACTAGAAGAGCAGCGTCTGGAGCAAAACCAGAAGTTGCAGGTTATTTATTAATATTTTTAAAAACTTTATTCTTCTTTCTGTTTTGTGTCAAGATGTGATAGGTGCTTAAAAATGTGCAGGGTACATGCTGGTATTGAAAGCCAACATGTTGCATTTTGTGGTTTACTTTTCTTTACTCATTTTCAGGAGACAAATGGATCAGCTGTTCAAAAACCAGTGACCAAAAGACCCTTCCTGAAAAGAGGAGAAGGCTTAACAAGATTCACTAATGCCAAATCTAAAATTACAAAACACGGAGAAAACACCTCAAAACTTCAACAAAGGGCTGCAGATGACAGAAATGTTATTAAAGTGGACAGATCACAAACACAGAAGAAAACTATGCCTCCTGGCAAAGAACTGGTTTCTGAAAATTCTTTTGCAACATGTAAAAAATACAACCACCCCAATAAAGCAAAACATTGCCCTATTCAGAAGACGGTGGTACTCAGGAATCACAATGGAGAAAATATCTTGCCATTAGAAACAAAAATGCAATCAGGAAAAAATTATGATGGACAGATGAGAGATTATTACGCATCAGAAATTAATAACAAAACAGAAAATAAAGAGAACAGAGTAGAATTTGCTAAGTCTAATACTGGCAAAATCAAAAACAAATTGCCTGGCACAGAAAAGTCTCAGTTGTCTCAAGAGCTGGCCAGTGCCTTCTCTAATTCTAAACATACTATAGGTCACCCTGTAAAAGATTCAGAACTGTCTTTTGAAATTTCATTTCAGAATAAGCTGGAGAACTGGGAAAAAGAAAAAGAAAAAGAGACTCTAGAATTAGATGAGTTTTTGTTTCTAGAACAAGCTGCAGATGAATTATCTTTCTCAAGTAATTCCTCATTTGTGCAAAGGGTCTTGGATCGAGATCTGCAAACTTTAAAAGGCCATAGAATGTCTTCTACCCCTATAAAGGCAAAACAGCAGCAAGTAAAGGTGCTGGCTGTCGAACTCACAAATGAGAAAAATGAAAGGGCAGACTGCATAGCACAGGAAAATATACATAATAGCCTAGTTATGCACTCAGTCTCAAATTCAGGAGCAGATTCTAGAGTGAAGGATCCATTGAATAAAACAGACAATGTAATATTTTCAGCTGTGAAAACAGCTCCTGCTTTAAAAAGTAATCCCTGGATTGTAAATGAAGATAAGGGTGAGGGCAGTGGTGATACTGCTACAGATTCTGAGAGTAGATTTGAGGCCACATTGAAGCATGACAACAAGGATGCTAAGACATCCTTTGTGAGCCATAGAGAAAGTGATCCAGAATTTTTTGATTGTGGAAGTTCTGTTACAGACATCAGCAAAGAAAGCATAAATGGAGATGCTGACCTTGGCTTGTCAGACAAAGATTGCAGTGCACTGTCAAAGCAAAAGATTAGAAGAGCTACAGACAATCACAGAAGTGTGTCGTGTTTAAGGAGGAGTAAGTTTGAATTTGATGATGAAAGAACATGGAGTGATCTTGATGAAAATTATGTTAGCAGTGATTTACCTGAAAAATACACTAAAATACCTTCGCAGATGGACTTTCCCAGAAAGAATGATTCACCTGTCCCAGATAAAGCAATAAAGAGAAAAGTTGCCTCAAAGAAAGCAGATGAAATGTCCAAAGAGTCTGCAGCGGACAGTGATTCAAATGGACCTCCTGTATCAAACCTGATGATGAAACTGTTTCCTTCACTGAAACCGAAACAGAAGGCAGGCTGTCGCTTGGAACGTGAAACCAAATCGAATGTGGAACAGGATCCAGGAGGTGAGAGAACAGCAACTGGTAGGAAATGTTGAGGAGGACATATCTTACAAGTCTTTCCTTCTAGCGTTTAAGCTGCAACCTGACATTGCACCAAAGGGTGTAAGTAGACTTCTGCTGCAGGGAATGGCCTTATTCTCCCCTTACATCTCCTCTGGTTGCATGTCTGATGCCAGGTCTGATGATTATGCAGATTGCAGAATGACTATAATTTGTGAAAACATTTTTATTATTTGGTTTTTCTTTTATTCCCCTCTGGAGGCTAGTTTTTTGTCAGATCAGCTCATTGAAGTAACTTGATCTGGAGCTACTTGATCACTGTTTCTGAATAAAGGAAAGTATCAAAGGCAAGCCAAAAATGAAGTGGTACCTCCCTTTCCACCACAGTGTGCATTTACACTACAGTAGGTTAATGCTATGCACTGCTAGGTTAGCTTATTCCTCTTATAAAATACAAGAAAGTGGCAGCCCTATCCATATTATCAAAGTGTAGTATAGCATCTAGAGAATTCATGTGGAATATGGGAAATGTGGATTCATTTTTTTGCATTGCCCAAGTTGATTTCATCTATGTGGTTACAGTCTGTGGAGGACTGCCTCTAAAACTTCCTGTTGAAGCTGTTGTGTTTCTGCTATCATAAAACATGGAGTTGTTCAGTGAAAGCATGAAGGCGCAGCCTCCCATTTAAATCTTCTGTCTGTAAGGTTATGATCTTGGTTTCAAACTCTGCTCCAGTGAATGTTTAGGATTTTGTTTAGGTTTTTGTGATAAGCCAGTTGATGTAATCTTTTTGGATTTCAGAAAAGCTTTTGATACCATCTCTCCCAGTATCCTTCTGGACAAAATGTCCAGCACACAGCTAGCTAAACATGTCATGTGGTGGGTGAGCAATTGGCTCATGGGTACAGTGGGTTATAGTGAATGAGGTGACATCAGACTGGAGACCTCTCACCACTGGGGTTCTACAGGGCTCCATCTTAGGCCCTGTGCTCTTCAACATCTTCATAAATTACTTGGACATAGGACTTGAAGGTACACTGAGTAAATTTGCCAATGATACTAAATTGGCAGGAACTGTTGATTCCCTCGAAGGCAGGGAGGCCCTGCAGAGAGACCTCGACAAATTAGAGGACTGGGCAATCACCAACTGTATGAAGTTTAACAAGGGAAACTGCCGCATTCTGTACCTGGAATGGGGCAACCCTGGATATTTGTACAGGGGAATGAGATGCTGGAAAGCAGTGCCGCGAAAAGGGACCTGGGGGTCCTGGTTGATGGCAAGTTGAATATGAGTGAGCAGTGCCCTGGCAGCCAGGAGGGCCAACCGTGTCCTGTGGGGCATCAGGCAAAGCATCGCCAGCTGGTTGAGGGAGGAGATTGTCCCGCTCTGCTCTGCACTGGTGCAGCCTCACCTTGAATATTGTGTGCAGTTTGGGGCACCACAACACAAGCTATTAGAGAGTGTCCAAAGGAGGGCAACAAAGATGGTGAAGGGCCTTGAGGGGAAGCTGTATGAGGAGCGGCTGAGGTCACTTGGTCTGTTCAGCCTGGAGGAGACTGAAGAGAGACCTCTGTTGTCTACAACTTCCTTGTGAGAGGAAGAGGTGGGGCAGGCACTGATCTCTGTGGTGACCAGTGATAGAACCCAAGGGAATGGCCTGAAGTTGTGTCAGGGGAGGTTTAGGTTGGATACTGGGAATAGGTTCTTCACCCAGAGGGTTGTGGGGCACTGGAACAGGCTCCACATGGAAATAGTCACAGCACCAAGCCTGACAAAGTTCAAGAAATGTTTGGACAATGCTCTCAGGCACATGGTGTGATTTTTTGGATTGTCCTGTGCAGGGCTAGGAGTTGGACTCAATGATCCTTGTGGGTCCCTTCCAACTCAGAATATTCAATGATTCATAGGAAAGCTGCTACTTCTACTTATTGTTTTCTGGAGAATGGATTGTGTAGGGTTGTTTAAAGGTACCTGCTAGATGTTTGCAGGAAGAGGGGTAGGGGGTTTTTTACAGAATTTCAGACTATTTAAGGATGAACGAGGCAACTACCTACACTGCAACATCGATATTTAGGCTCTTCTGTTGCATACTGAGACTATTAAAACCCTGGGATTGTTAGGAAGGGACTGAACAGCAAACTGGGATGGCATAAAAGCCCACAAAAAACCTTCCTATTATCAGCCTCCGCAAGAGATTTCACATCAGTGTTGAGTGTGAGCAGATATTGTTGTAAGTAAAACTTGAAAAAACTTATAACCGTAAACTTTCCTACTTGATATACCTTTATATGGTGCATATATATAGTATGTACTTGTACATACACATTTACCATGTACATTCATTATACCCTTATGCCTTCATTTTATTTCTCTGGTTTGACGTGAAGCCCTTCACATCCAGTTCCAAATATACGTTAGTTCTATGAAGATGACCAATGTATTCAATACTTAAAAGTACTACAGGGATGATAGATCTACTCAATATTTGAGGTACTTCAGTAAATAGTACAGAATGCTTTAAAACGTTAACTTCTGTGTTATTTGAATAGTAGAAGAGTTTACAATATTACTACTGTCTCTAAAATACTTTTTTTTTTCTTTGTACAATTTGTAAGCTGGTATGTGATAATTGTTTTCTTCAGTCTTACTGATGCTGCTTAGATAACATGCATCTGGCTGTGCTTTGACAGGAAATACTGTTCCATCCCAGCTACTGAGAGAGAGACTCAATGAATTGGAAACTGAAATAGAGAGATTCCGAGCTGAAAACACAACTCTAAGTAAACTCCGTGAAGAAAGAGAGCAGGCCTTGGCAAATATCAGGTAATTTTTAAATGAAACATTTTGGTTGCATTCACTTACATAGTATGTTGCAGACTATCATGATGTCCAGTTAGTTACCAACAGCACAGGTAAACAATTCATGTGTATCAGTTACACTGGAGATTGGTCAAGAGACTTAGACAGAAATTATAGTATTAAGAACCCCTGCTAGATTAATATGGTATCATTAAAAGTTATGCTTGGGAGAATTTGTGTACTTTTGTTCGGAGGGATAACACAGTCCTAAACTGGTCTTGCAGAACTGATCTTCACACTAACATGACTGATGCTTTTGCTTTGGATTGGATGTTTGTACAAACTGAGAATCTTTTAATTTGTACTGGGGCATTTATAAGCAACATACAGAGTAGAATAATTGCCTCTGATGACTTAAATGTGGCACACCTGTTCCTACCACAGCCACTTCTGTTTGGAAACAGTATTGTGTCTTTGGCTGATGTTCATTTGTGACCTTCTGCTATTGGCAGACTCTTTTCCCTGGTACTTTTAGAGGAATGGAATATTTAGCCAAATATTTTCTAAATTCAGGATAACTTTTGTGACTAGAAGATATAAAAATATAAATTGTTGGACTTCAAACACTAACTGTGTGATAATTCTTACTCCTTAAATAAGTAATACCATTTATAGGCAAGTCTCCCTGGAGGTAATAGATGTTGGGTTGGAATCAATGACCACAAAATACTGTGTCTTCATTTTTTTTCTTAAAATCCAGATTTGAAGTAGATTTGGGCTAAAACAACAACTTTGTTTCATAATTATAGGAAAGAAATTGCAGACTTTGAGCAGCAGAAAGCCCAAGAACTGGCTGAAATAGAAGAATATAAAAAAAAGGAAATGAAAAAACTGCAAAAGGAGCGCAAAGTTTTTGAAAAATATACTGCAGAAGCTAGAGTAATTCCAGATAAAAAAGAACGTGATGAAATTCAGGTATAAGAACATATTATTCTTCTAGTCCACACAGGAACATGGAAATTCAATTAAAGGCAGTCAACAACTATGTTGTAACTTAGTTGAAAGCTTACAAGTGATTTCAAGATGGGAACTGGTAGCAGACATAGGTTAGTGGTGGACTTGGCAGTGCTGGGTTTACAGTTGGATTCCATGATCCTGAAGGTTTTTTCCAATCTAAATCATTCTAATTGAGGAAAAAAACTACAGTCTTCACAAGGTTGCTTGATGGTTTTAAGGCAAAAACTCCTAATAAGCAAATCTTTTTGTTACATTTCCACAGTAAAAACTGCTCATGACTGTGACATCTTCAACTTTGAAACAAAATTACCAAAGTTAAAATATTAAGTTGTAAGTTTTTATTCATGGTAGTGGATCAAAATGCAAACTAGAACTGCACAGGAGTTTTATTCTAACTGTTGTACAGTTGATGTAGTAATCTACAATTTTCAGAGTTAAATTTTTTATCTTCTGGTATCAGAGATGTAAGAAACAACATCTGTTTGTTCCTTCAGTGTCAGGATGTATCGTGTACAAGATGTACAGACAAGTCACATTAAGCACCACACAGGGATTTTCCTTGTCCTTCCCTACACATTTTCCTTACTTCAAAAGACTGAACTGGCTGTGCAGATTTACCTGTGTTTTGTGTGACTCTGTCCTCCCTTGTTTTCCTGTGCCAAGATTTTTGAAGGGCCCTGTCAAGGGTAGCCTTAAGGATTTAATGTTTCTATCTCAAGCTTATTTGTATTGGCCAATCGATTAAGTGTAAAGGATGCCAAGAGAGCAATAAAAACAATTCCTGTGATAGAAGTTGAGCTTATAAAGTTGGTAGTCTAAAGTAAATCTCTTTCAGGGAAGAAAACTTCTCCTGTCTTTCACCCTCTGCACCACTAAATTAACCTTACTTTTTTGCCACTCTTGTGCCTTTTTTGTGTGCTTGTATTTCTATTAGAAATTTAAAAAATATTTTGATATATTAAAAAATGAAAGCTCTTTAATTTTTAAATGTGCATTTTTCTAAGGCTTTAAAACAACAGATTGCAGAGTTACAGGAAGATATAAAACAAAAAGAGGCAAAATGGTCAACTACCCATCGACGCCTGAAAGATCAAATAGAAGCTTTAGTAAATGAGAATTTGGAGCTAAAAGAAGAAGTCAAAATTATGGAGAAGTTCCGTCTAGAAGCCTGGAAGAAAATAGAAGCTGCTGGAAGCAAAAGAAAACCAGAAAACTCTGCGATGGCTTTAAAAAGAGCAGAATCTGTACGTTATTAATCTTGGTGTTTTACATATATCTCTGTGAATACTCAGGGGTTTTGTGTCATATACTTGGATTCCAATAGCTACAGTTTAGCTGTTAAATTTACTAATGTGGGGACTACAATAGTGGTGACAGAGAATTGTGTTAATGTCACTTCTTTCCAAATGTGAATGTTCACAATGTGCAACATCCCTTTTGTTGAGGAACTCATCTTAGAAATTCAAAATTATGCAGTTATAAGAGAAAAATCATTGGTGGGGTCTAACCTGTGACCTTCTGCCCCTTAAGGATCAACCACAAAAAGCAAGGAGTTCACAACTGTCTAGAGCACTTACATTAAGTTTTGAAACTGTAACTATTATTCTGGATTGCTTGCACCAAATTAACATTCTGTAGTTGGTAGTGAGGGAGCAGGTGGAGGAAGAGCTCCAAAGTGCAGCTTGGGCTACATCACACAAGCCTTTCTGCTGACCAAGTCTCAAAAATGTATAGTTGGTGAAAAAAGCTTCCAGTAACTTTAATGTCATATGGTCAATAAATTTTGTTGATGCTGCATGAACAGTTTTATGTCACATAAACCACAGATACTCCCTTTCTTTTAGTGTCTACCAAATAGAGGCCCCAAAAGTCAAACTGCATCTCTGCTTCTTCCAGTACAGAAGTGCAGCAAAATGAATGGCAAAAGTTATTTGCAGGCAAAAGGTAAAAATGTTTTTCTGATCAGAGAATTCTGTTAAGTCTTTAAAGTAAAACTAATGTGAATTTTTGCTTTGTGGAGTGCATCACCACCTCAAAAGTAGACAGTGAGAGAAGTAATGGGCTTGAGCATAGGGTAGGATTCTGGAGAAAGCTGTGATGAGACCAATCTCAGAGTGAGAATGCTTCTGGTCATTTTTGGTGGTCCGGAGCATAGCAGAAGCTGTTTTCTGTAATCCAAAATGGCATTCATCATTTGTGTTCTCCAAGCTGTTGATTAGATCACAGAATCATAGAATAGTTTGGGTTGGAAGAGACCTCAAATATCATCTAGTTCCACCACCTGGCCATGGGCAGGGACACCTTCCAGTAGACCAGGTTGCTCAAAGCCCCATCCGACCTGGCCTTGAACACTTCCAGGGGTGGGGCATCCACAGCTTCTCTGGGCAACCTGTTCCAGTGTCTCACCACCCTCCCAGTGAAGAATTTCTTCCTAACTTCTACATGACTGTGTTGAGAGCATCGGAACTGCTGTGTCTCTTCTGAATCTTCTGTTATCAGGATCTATAATCATATGGGCAATGCTGTAGCAGGTGTTCCTTGTTCACATTTAGGAGTAAAGCCTGTTTGCCTTCCTAATGAATAATCACATATGGAAAGTAACTGCAGGGTATTTTTTGACACTTCTGACAGCTCAACCAACCATCGTGTTATATGTTAGAGGAGTATGTTCCAGAATTGGAGGTGTTTTTATTTTGGTAATTTGACAGGAGAGACATGGGAAAAGTATGCTGATCAGTTTCTGTGAAAAAGGTTGTATTAATCTTATTTTATTCATTACAAGGTGTAACTAAAAATGTTGTCTAAATTCCTGGGGGGAGGGGAGGGAATCCTTTGTAAATCTACAGAGATGAAATAGGAGAAGAAAGTGTGTTTATGCCTATTGCAATGATTCTTCAGTTGTAGATTCTTGCTGACACAAGAAGCAATGGTAGTGACCGATTCTTTTATTGGCACATGCTGATTCTTTTAATAAATATGCTGCTTTCAGTTACTACTGAACTTACGAAATGTAGGTGTCCTGTACAACTTGACCTCATATATAATTGTAACACTTAAACCATACTTTAATTTCAGTGTCCAATTTAACTGTTACATGTATCTGAGTAGGAAAACTTTCTAGAACACCTGCATCAGGACCTGCTAACGACAGAAGCAACTCTGAGACAATGACAGCAGTAGAAGATTCTTCTAAGACTTTTATGGTAGTAAGTCCTGTGTCTTGATTTGATTTTTAAGGGGGAGGAAAAAGCCTAAAAGAAAATGTTATTTGTATTTAAATGAGTATGTGGAGGGTGACTGATAAGACTGTTGACTCACCTTCTTATGTTCTTCAACTTTTACGGTCATACCAGAAAATGGCTAGTCAATGAAGAGTATACTAGCACTAGTCAATGAAGAGTGTTTTATCTTTATCTAGTAGGTGCATTATTCTTTGGCTCAGGAAAGAAAATAAACTAATAATCTCCTGCTCTTTTGAAGTTTGCAAAATGTTTTATCCTTTAAGAAAGTTAAAAAAGATGGGTGTTTATACGCTCCATGTAGGGCAACTGTGCAAGGATCTTGTAAGTAGTTGAATTTATTCTTACATTAATTGCTATAAGTAACATTCAGGCTTTATGGAACTTCATAATTTCATACCTTAATGTGGATCTCTTAAGGAAACTAAGCACCATGCTACAACACACCACTGAATTCCACTTTAGTCCAGACTACAGCTGACCAGGGTCAACCAATTATTGCTGAGTCTCAGTCTGTTTTACCACTTGAATTATACTAGGAGTTGCTTAAACTCCAGGTTGTGTTTATGCCTTCCCACACTTGTCTTCCTCCCACAATGCTCCTTGTTTCCTAAAGTACCTGTCAGCCTGGGAAAAAAAAATGTAAAAAAGCTAAATCAAGCTTTGTATGTCATCTCAGGACATCTCTCCTAATGAAGCTCATGTGTCACTACCATCTGGTCCTGCATATATGGGTGGTGAAGAGATAGAGAGAGAAACTGCTTATCCTGATGGAAAGGTAAAATAAGAGCTTGGCACTCTGAAATTCAGGAAGACAGCTGTTGTGAATGATGAATGACAACATAAAGTGGGATGGCTCAATACTGACCTCTCTGCAATGTGTTCATCAGGTTGAGCAAGTTTTGAAAAATGGCTGTCACCTTGTATTTTTTCCCAATGGAACATGGAAAAAAGTGGGTTCTGATGGAAAGACTGTAACTATAACCTTCTTCAATGGGGATGTGAAGCAAGTTATGCCTGATCAAACGGTGGTATGTATCCTGCATCCTCAGCCTTTTTCAATAAATATTTATTAAATAAACACTTATTAAATACATGTACACATGTACTTTAAATTTCTCACTAGTTACGTTAAAGCTGAACTGTTTTCTGCAGATTTATTATTATGCTGATGCTAAGACTACACATACTACATACTCTGATGGCTTAGAGGTCTTGCAGTTTTCAAATGGACAAATAGGTAAAAAAAAACCCAACCCGCCTGTCAGAATTAATGCCCATAGATATCTATGTATTTGTGTAATAAGCATCTTGTCTCAAAATACATTTCAGAGAAGCATTATCCTGATGGCAAAAAGGAAATTACCTTCCCTGATCAAACTATTAAGAACTTATTTACAGACGGACAAGAAGAAAGTATCCTTCCAGACGGTACCATTGTTCGTGTTCAGCCGTAAGCTTTCCCTTCTTGGGTCCCCTGGCCTGGGGATGGGACAGGGGCACTATATGGTGACAGATCTAGTTCTACCAGTTTACATTTGAATGTACTGTACTGTGAACATTTACTTACTGCTTGAGTTTTGGGCTTTTCTTTTGGTAGCCTGGATGAGAAAGACTGAATGCCTGAGTGTATTGTCCTGACCTGGGAGACTTTTCTGATTTGTATGTAATTCTAGAAAACACAGGAGAACATGACTAGGAAGTGGGTCTGACTAACAGTGCTCAAAACATCAAGTTTTAAACTTTTCTTGGAGTGTTGCAGCAACGGATTTAGTGCAGAGAAAGAGCAGTAGAGGCTCACAAGAAGCCATGTCAGTTTTGCCGAAACAGATTTTTGAGTATGACCACCTGCAATGATATTTAACCGATTTTCCCACAAATACTGTATTTCTTACTATCTTCCTTTATTTAGGCTTGCACAATTGCTGTTCTGAGATTAATCTTAAGCCTATGTATGATCCTTACAAAGTATTGGTTGTTTTTTTTCCCCTTTAATGCAGAGATGGAAGCAAAACTATAGAGTTCAATAATGGCCAGAGAGAACTACATACATCACAGTTTAAGAGACGGGAATACCCAGATGGTTCTGTCAAGACTGTGTACATGAATGGACAGCAGGAAACAAAGTATGGCTCTGGGAGAGTCAGAGTAAAGGACAAGGATGGAAATATTATCATGGACACTAAGTTGTAGGCAATGTCAAAACTGCTGAAGTGTTAAGACATCAGCAAAAATAATGTACATTTCTGTAAACAAGAAGCAAAACCCCTTTAAGCTTGTTGTGTATATACTGTTTATAGTTTTTACAAAATAAATTTATTTTTAAGTGAGTGCTACAACATCAGTGTTGCCAATTTTTTTTCCCATTCCAACTTTTAAGGAGCAGTTTATTGATTCAGTATTCTGGCATGTGTGGTTTAAAGGCTGTTTTTTAAAATCAGCTGTCAGTGGAAATCTAACAGCTGTAGATTACCTTATTTTAGACATCTAAGAGAAGATTCCTCAATCCAAGTCATGCTGTTTTAACCCCTGCTGTGGTGAAATACAGCAGGTGGCCGAGCCTGGGTGTCAGTTTACTTACTGCTTGACTTAAAAGAGTAAATGAATGGCAGCACTCCTTTTCAGTCAGCCTTTGGCTATTCGTTTTCCTTCGTAATATTATTTTTTTTTCATCTCTCAGTTAGGAGGCAACAGCATTTGCAGACCACAAAATCTGTTCTATAAACTGCTCATCTATATTTGTAAGGCTAGGACAGGTTGAGACTGGGGGACAAGTTAATTCTCCAAGCTACTCAGAAACACCAGAAAATTAACAAAGGTCATCTCATCCAGTTCTCCCACCTCACAGATGTTTTTAAGCTGACTTGTCTTAAAATTCTGCAGTACTTACTCTAGAAAAGGGTTGCTGCCAGGCTGGCTGCTCCAATTCCATTTCTGTGGATAGTGAAAAATTCATTTCATTCTCTTGCACAGTAGAAGGTATTCACTTACTTCACCTTGTCCCTTCTGCTCCCCCTCCCTTTTCTCCTCAGTGAAAGCAAGCTCCGTCCTTACTTTGTCTATGCCATTTTGTACTCATGGGGAAGCAGTGAGAACTGCTTGTCTAACCTGGCAAGCTGCCTTCACAGCACACCTAGGCACCACTGCTAAGGTCAGCTTTGTACCCTTGCTTTCATGGGAGCTTGAGGATAGAGATGTCTAAGGGTATGTGTGTGTGAGCACAAACTGGAGCACAGGAGGCTCCCTCTGAACAGCAAGAGGCTTTTCGACTGTGAGGGTGACTGGGCACTGCAAGTGGTTGCCTGGAGAGGCTGTGGAGTCTTCATTGTGCATGTGTTTTCCTCCAGGATCTAGACAAAACTTTCCATAGGGAGACTGAAAGGGGTTGAGCTTTGCATGTAGGAAATTTAGTACAATAGAGACATCCAAACAAACCTTACACACTGTAGCAGTAAAGGAAAACAAGCTTTCAGATGCATGCTGAACAAACTTTATTCCCTAAACTCTGAAGTGAAAGAGGTGTAACAACAGAAACAGAAAACAGCAACAATGCAAATGTTGTTCAGAACAAAGACAGTAGTACTCCCCCACCCAAACTGTTTGCTCCCTATCCTACACTGGTGCTGGAGATGTCTGTCATCAAATAAACCTGAAACACAAGGAGGAGTTATGTCACAATAATAAAACTATCATCTTCCCTTCAAGTCTTCTAACAAGATACTAGAACAACTGTGCCTAGAATCAGCTTTTTATCTGTTTCTTTACCACTGTACATTAGTTCTACCAACTCCTGTGAAAAGGGTATCACAGAACAATACTTAGGACTCCATGGTCAAAAAAGATTGACATGTGAATATAAAGTTTTACTATTTCAAGATCAAAGGATGTTTGGAACATTATCTGTAAACATCTATTAGAAGAGTGCTTATTAAATGGGAGGGAAAAATACTAGGTAAGAGAGTCAGCCAAGAAATCTGAAAATCCAAGTCTCGGCTGTTCTCTATGGATAACACAGTGTAAAGCTCTTAATTAAAAATATTCCACGTTTGACTAGATCTATGGACATCAATATGTCATTCATGGATGTTTGCCTGAGTAACCACTGGCACCTGCCATTGAGTTTGAATGCCTAAAATAAAATTAATTTTTATCCTATGGGCAGAGCGCCCTACCACATATCTGCAAATTACCGTCTTCAGTTACTGGCAGCAAAAAGCTCTTTATGTTGTATCACCTTAAGGCTCTTTGTTTCAGTACTTGCTAGTTCTTAAACCTGTAACTGTGGGTTTCAGTAATGGTATGTAAATAAAATAATTTTTTTAACAGCTTTTTGTTTTATAATGAATACTTCATTAACAGAGTGAAAGTAGACAGAAGGGATTTTTTAAAAATAAATTCTAGTTGTCAACATTACTGGCAGTTTATACTTTGCTTTAAACTTCTGAAATCATCCTTCCAGAATAGTATGAATTTGTAGTTCATAGTCACTGTACTTACATGTCACTCATCCAACTCTGCAAGTCCCATTTCTATCAGTTTCAGATGAACTAGTTTTTTGTCATCTCCATACAAAGAAATGGTGACCTCTGGTGAAAGAGTCTGAAAGTTGATAGAGTTGACAGTAACAGATTTAAATCTCAAGCTAACCAATACTGAAAGTTATTTTACTGGCTCTACTCACTGCTTAAATGGAACTGCGAATATACAGAGAGTACTTTGTTTTTAAGTAAATAAAACTGGTTTTAAAACAGCAGGAATGCTCAAAAACTTTTTGACTGCAGGTTTAGGAAGAGCACCACATCATTTTCTCTCTTCATGAGCCTTCCTCCAAAGTAAATGGTTCTCAGTTTTAAATTATGAGGGTACACAGTAAAATAATTACTTAAAAAATAGAGTGCTAGTAAGAATTTTAGGCTGAGCAAGAGCTAGGAGGGGAAAAAGAAAAAAAAAAGGAAAAAGAAAAAAGTGATTCTCACAAGTATGGAAGCAGAGAGATGTTTTCCTTCCACAGAGTCCACCATAGCCCACAATGCATTCAGGCTCCATTCTGGGGAATAAGGAATTCTTTTCGTGTTTTTGTCATCTGAAGCAGGTTTAAATCCAGCCAAGAGAACTCGTACTGCCTGAACAGGGTACTTCAGGAGACAGTAAGGTATGTGACGCAATCTACAACAAAAATGAGAAGTGTTTGCCCCCAACAATCCACCTGTCAAGCTCAACTCTCAGTAAGGATGTAAGGATAGACTGCTGAATGGTTCATGCAGTAGGTTTACATTGTGGAAACTGGGATCAGACTCCCTGCTCTATGGTAACATGCCAGCATCAGACTGAACAATTCCTCTGGCAGGCAGGCCCAGGCCTTAGCACAGTAAGGACTTAGCACAGTAACTATCACAAAGCAGTCCTGCATCCTACAGACCTCTCGGCCCACATGGCACAAACTGCCTCCCCACCACAGCACTTGGGGAGGAGTCTCCAGTGCCTAACAAGGATCTGAGCACAGAAATCCAAGTGCACATCATCACAGTGCAGGCTCCACAAACCTTTGTGGTACAAAGTGCTTCATGCCTGAATGTGCTCTAGACTACTGGAAATAGGCACCTTGGGTCTGCATTATCATCTTCCCCATTCTTCTATCTCTCTATCCCAGAAGCAAAAGAATGGGGAAGCAGAGCAGGAAATGCAACTCTGAAATAAAACACACTGTCTCCCACAACCGCAACAGTATGTGAAGCAGGAAATTGTTCAAATCCCATTTTGTCTTCAGCAAGGATGTGTAGATTCCCCAATGAACTCAAGAGCAAGTCAGTGTGAACAAGCAGTACAAATAAAAAATATGTGCATATGCACTATATATATATGTATTATATACAGTTGTATGGTAGTACTATCTACATACATACATATATTCATTGTGTGTATATATATGTGTGTATATATATATATATATATATATATATATATGAGAAATTTAGACAAGCTTAGGGGACCCTAAAAGCCTGGGGTGTTTGATACACTCAGCTGACATCTGTGTGTCAGCACAGGAGCGGTTCTTAGTGTGGCTCAGCACCAAACAGAACAGGGATTTGAACTTCCATTTTCCACACAAGCAGGGCAGGGTGTGTCCCACTCAGATACTCCCCCATCCTTTATCTTATTTCCCAGCTATCTTCTGTGCAGATTGCAGTTCTCACAGGATCAGAGGATTTGTTTCTGCACCTTGTTTTGAGTAAGCTTCTAGGGTGCAGAAGCAGATTATACTCCTGAGCCTACTCACAGGTTACGTAGAGATAATGGAGAAATCTGATCTTATAATAATGGGCTTTTCAGAACAACCTGAGACAGAAGTAGGTGCACAACGCCACACTCTACAGACAGAAGTTATTTAACCAGCCAACCCACCTTCTCTGCAACTGAAATCCAAAGCTAAATTATAAACAATATATATGTAGTTATATAAAAATAAATAATAATAGATGTAAAATATTTATTTGTAAGTACATATTTAATAATATAAGTGTATATATACATACACACAGACATTTCACATGCATTTTTTCTTATATTTACCTGTTTGTTGGGGCAACTAAATAATTACCATAGTCAACAAACTGAACCAGAATCTGAACAGGGATAAGCTGTATAATAGAGAGGAGCTTTGCCCTATACCATAAGCCGTCCACATATTCTGCAAGGCAAGGCAGTTCTGTAAAAAGAAAAAAAAAGGAACACCACAAAACACTCTGGAATACTCATGCGGTACAAACTGAACTTGAAAATCCACTTTACTCTGTGACAGAGACTAACTTTTCTTTCTTAAATTCATGCTATGATTTTGTTCTATGCATCCTCCAATTCTCTCTGAACTCCAATTCACAATCACTAGTATGCAATTTAAGTCAAGCTTCTCTACCTCACATGGCAACGTGAAAAATAACAGCAAATTGCTTGGTAAAGATAGTGATCCAAACAGTTTAATGTTAAAACTTCTCAACTTGGACTCAGTTGCACATTTCAGTTAGTAAAAAGACCGATCTGTAAGAGAATATGTCCTGTCTGCAGGACATGAGGCAGATGCTGCTTAAAACCTGAAGCAGAATTTCACTCATTAGTAGAACCAAGTAGTAGCAGTAACTGTTTTCTTCACAAAGGTTTAGACCCACATACTTTATGCTATTTTAGACCCAATGGTTGGGGACAAGAGAATTAAAGCCCATTTTTTTGCCTAAATGGAGAAATCCAGAATTAAAGTCATGCTCCTTAGGGTTCACATTAACTTCTAAACCTTGGTTACGTCATTTTCCATACATAACTTTTGTCTTTGGAATATTTAATA